TAACAGGGAGGGAAGGAGGGAAAGCTGCAGTTTGGATTCAACTCTTCACATTGGCAGGAGCTTCTCCCACATCCCAAGAATACTTTGATTTATACTCTACTGTTCCAGTTAAGCTCTAATAAAAGACTGCACTTTTAATTGCTTATCTAAGGCTGGGCAGGGAGAGAGGGGAGGGAGAGAGGGGAGGGACCTGCTCATGACAAGCCATGACTTTATAGGTGAATGCAGTCAGAGCATCTGCACAGGTTGCGTGTACTTTGATCTCAGGTTAGTCAGGCTGTTGCCCACTAGAGAATCACTCAGACCCAGCTGAAATGCATGGCTGAAACATAGTTTGTAAGAGGATAAGCACACACGGCCTCCCCTCCCCTAAACCCAATTCATGCACAATGGGAGTAAGCTTAAAGCTTCATTATGGTTTTGAAGAAACTGCAATTTTCCATTAGTAATAAAGTTCAACCAAACTAAAATCAAGCCATAGTTTCAGATCCTGGTTTACTTTAACTCACAGAACAAGCATAATTCCAAATGTGGATGTTGTAAGGAAATATTTGTTTTAAAACTTAACTGGAAGCTTGCACTTTCCTTCTTGTACTGATGGAGGAGAGAGAAAGCACACTATCAGAACACACATCATGGCTACTTCCTGATAACCAGATCTGCATGACACACTGGATTTGACCCCATGTTGCTTCTGTCTTTGTCTATTTCTGCCTTAAAATTGCTGTTTCTTCTTCCCTACATGCACAAACATTCTTCAGAAATGGGGTGGTGATTATCTTCCCCAATTTCAAAGATGGAGAGATGGGGATCCAACACTAAAGGACACCCCAGGAAAGCTTTGAAGAAAGCCAAATGCCAGACATTCAGACATTGAGGAAAAGTAGATTCACTCAAATGTACATACACATCCAGCTATGCAGTGTTCACAGTGTCCTTTTAGAGCACTGAAACCAGATCTATCTGTGACGGCCTGCAAATCACTAATACCGTGCTGGGCAGGAGAAGTACAAAAGTAAAATATTCATGCAGTTAGGCAGTCTGATCTGAAACATGTCCTCACAGTGCTTTCTGAAACTCTTTTAGGGCTTGAATGGGTTGCACAGATACCTCCCGCACTGTTCGTTACAGACAACAGCACACGACACCTGACACACAGTCTCAAGGTGAAATGGTTTATCTATAGGAACTGGCAATTAATCTTATGGCGCTTTATAATCCATCACATTTTTTCATGGAGTTGTCATGCTAATATTTTCCATGGATGATGTACTACAAGCACTGTAGATTGTTTATAAGGGTTTTAAGAGTAGATATTTATTGATGTACATTTTTAATTACTTTTTCCCAGATGCAATATTGTGTACGGGTTTTATTTACACACTCTAACTGTTGACCATATATTATTTTGATCACTATGCAAATTCTATGGTTTAATGCAATATATTAATAACAATACATTTATATCCCCCTTCTCCTTTTACAAGGAACCCAAGGTGGCTTTAATAATCCTTCTTTACTCTATTTTATCCTCACAACAACCCCACGAGGTAGGCTGGACTGAGAATGAGTGACTGACCCAAAGTCACCCAGTGAGCTTTAAGACAGCGTAGGGACTAGAACCAGATTTCCTGGGTCCCAGTCTAGCACCATGTCATACTGACTCTATAGTTAAGGGCACTGGGCTGGTTTTGGCCATTAATTTATTACAGTTTTGTACTATCCAATAGCCAAAGCTCTTTAGGCAGCTCATAAAAATTAAAACCCTAAGCTACAATAAACATAACCCATAAAAGTTTAGCACAAAGTAAAATCAGAGTAAAAACCATCAGCAGGGAAAGATTAAAAACCAAAGTAGCACATATAAAAATGCAGCTAAAGGCTAAGCAAGTGCTAGGTACAGTGGCTGTCCTGCTACTGTAGTTTTGCCCCAGCATTGGATGCACCTGCACTAGTTGCACCATGCTCCAAGACAGCTCACAAGCATGGTGCAGGATTAGGAAACTGCCTCATCCCCTATTTAAAGCAATCCAGTGCTGCCAAATGAGAGTTAAACGTCTAAAGGCTGAACCTTCAAGCAGTTTGCTCCCAGAATATTTAACTGACATTTCTGGAGGGTAGAGAGCAGTGAAAAGTGTTCAGACAATGACAAAAACCCTGAGACCTGAAGGAAGTTCATGAACAAACAATCGCAGCCAAGGTTGCTAATGAGGCTCAAACAGCTTAACAATACAGAGGTCAACAACTGTAATCCTAAACACACTGACCCCAGAGTAAGCCCCAGAGAACTCAGTGTTACTTCCAAGGAGACATGAGTAGAACCAAGCAACAATGCCTGCTTCTTTGTGATGTAGAATTGAAGCTGGACTGTATTAATGTATTTTGTATTTGATGTTGTAAGCCGCCCTGAGGCCTTGGCAAGGGGTGGCATAGAAATGTTTTAATAAATAATAAAAAAATAAAAATAAATATTACTAATGGCAGAAAGGGATCCTGTAATTTCCTACCCTCTCTACAACTAGGGGTGTGTGTGCATGTCTGCATACCCTCAACTGAAAGTAACACTTCATGCAGTGGGTTTTAGTCCACTAAAATTGTATCATTGTTAGTCTTTTGGGTGATGACACTTTTCTCCAGATCAAAACAACACTGCTCTATGTCAGTGGCGAGCAACCATTTTGGCTATGGGCACATTTTGCTTGGCACTACCACAAATTGGTGTCCATGGGAAGCATAGCCAAAAACAAGCCACCTGGCCAAAAGACTGAGTTCAAGACAGAGTTGGGGTCAGAATCCCATCACATTAAACAAGTTCTCTGAACCCACAATTTTCAGCACCAGCAGAAACCTGTTTCACAGCAATTCCAGCTGCAGATAAGAAAATGTGTTCATAAAAATGGGGAAGCAGTAGGGAACCTTGGGGGTCACCAACAAAGGTGCCCAGGGGAACACCGGTGCCTCTGGACTCCATGCTGCCATCTGGTCTTCTACATTCACTGCTTTGTTTCAGGCTTGGCAGAGGGTGGTTGAAAACAAACATGGTAAAGTGGAAAAAGTAGTATACCGGGGAGATCTGGTCCAGTTCCTCATTCAGCCCTGTAGGGATATTAAATGAGGAAATGGGGAAAGGCTCATATTTGCTGCCTTGAACTTTTAGATGAAACATGGGGCACAAACGTGACTTCAACCAACCAACAAACAATTTTTGCATCTCAGTCTTCTTAACGGTTCGCTGTTTGGAATGTGATATGCAAATTAATTTTGCATGTTTTTTCCCATAAGTATTTATCAGCATTCTATTTGGTAAGCTTATATTCTAATAACATTTTAAGAACTGGGGTGGGGGAAATAATCATATGGATCAGTCCTTTTAATAGCAAGGTAGTGGCTGCAGACTGAGCTATCTCTTCTGCCTTGTTCTGTCTTGCGTGGTCATCATGGATTAAGGAGTGAACAACATGCCTCTTTTCTCTGCACAATCTTGCTGTGGTACATAAATGAGACGGTGGCAAACTGGTCATCCTACAGCAGTGATGCCACCAGCTGTGCACAGAAGTCAAGATACAACCATTCATGCTTTGAGGTGGATCTCTAGTCCAAGTCTAGTGCAGTGCTGGAGAGGAAGAGCATTTGAGCATGTAGCCTCATGCTCCTTCCCTGGCGTGCTACAATTACATGGCTGCTCATGTAGTGGTTTCTGCGTGTCCACAAATTTTAGCTAGCCTGGATAGCAGGCCAGGATTTGTGGTCACCAAAACCCTGCCCTTCCTCTATGGAGGAGGAGCAAGGTCTGGACAGATACTGTGCAGCACCCTGGAGGTTGTCAGACATTTCAAAATGGAACACCTCTGCAGGGGTGCTTCCCATCTCTTCCTCTAGCACCAAGGGCAGCAGGATGCACCTGGCATAGGAAGGAATACCAAAAGTCTGTTTTTCTAATCGCATGGTAGTCTAGGCAGGACTCCCTAGTTTTGCTGCTACAACTTCTAGTGTTCACAATCACTAACATCAGAATTGAAAAACAATCCCATGGTATTTTGCTTTAAATTGGCAAATGGGCAAACCCACACCCATCTCTCAATATATAAACATTACATGTAAAACGGGAATTTTCTTTTCATCACCTCCACCATACCTACATTTTCCATGCAAGCCATTTCCAGGCATGTGACTTTCAGTGAAACAGGAGGTGAGGAATTTTCCAGACATAATCTTCAATAACAAAATGCTTGTTTCACCAGTTTTAAAATCTATTTGCCTGAGAACACTAACATGTGCATATTTGATGACTCTCAGTAGACTAACCCCCTCTTCCCATTTTACCTTTAAAAAAATAAATAGTATTTAAGTGTCACAATTTAAAGACTAATTTACAATCTCCCTAATATTCACCATAGTTTTAGGGCATCAGAACTGACTATGCTCCTCTCCTGAAACAAACAATGAGTTCTCTTGTAACTGCAATTCTAAGCCAGTACATATTAAAAAAAGAAATTATTTGGGAATTTTAACTAGTAATCAGATATATAAGTATTCTCATATCAGATCAACTCAAAACACAGATGTTCCCATAAAGCAAGATACAAACCCTAGATTCGAGCTACAATGCTTAGGAGATTAGGGAAAGCCTAACAGGTGAAAGGAGATAAAGTGTGATTGTTAGGATATATTTACTAACAGCATATTGTACAAGATTCCCAGGGCTTTGTGTCCTATAATATCTCAAACTGTTTTCCTTCAAACCAGATTTTGTATTTCTTGGTGTTGTATTCATTCACACACACAGAGAGACCTGCATAAGGCTGGTAGTTTCCACACATCTCCTCATCCACTGGCTCCTGTGAGTCAGCTCCTGTGAGTCATTTTCTTCTTTCACCCTAATACCATCTTAAGTTGTCACAGATCTCTGACCTTGATAATACAGTTATCACTAAGCCATTAATGCGCAATTTTAAAATAAACCGTTAAGAAAAATTAAGGAAAAGGTGAGGATACATTACATCAATGTTTCGAATGATGACACACTTCCCGTTTGTATACAAAAAGTTATTCCCTTTTGGATCTCCCCCAATGATTTTGGAGACGCCTCGTTCAACCTGTGGGAGGCTGGCAAACACTTTTTCTACAAAAGAAAACGATACAAATATTACCAATGTATTACCAGCACTTGTCTCTGGAGGAAGGAGAGCAGAGCAGCACAGCTATGGATGCATTTAACTTGTTGCTGGAAATAAATGGAGGAATGCGAGAAGACTTCAAGCAACTACACCTTACTGATCTTCCCAATCTCCGATTAAGGAAGCGAGAAAAATTTGGAAAAGTGGCAAAATAGACTAAGTTTCATTCTTTTATTGCTAATTGCAACGTGCAAAATGGGAAGGACTCCTCCCTGCAATCTTGCTGCTTCTAAAGGTGTTTATTTTGCGGCTGCCAAGAGTTTGATTTTTCTAGGGCGGTACACAAATGGCACCCTTCTTGTCAATCAAGTCTCCCCTTCCCCCTTTCCTAGCATCTACAGGCAGCCCCATCTACGCATGCAAGCAGAGGAGAAATAGAAATGTGCCCCAGATTGACAGCAGCAAGACGAGCCAAGCATCAGTGTGGCAATGGGCGACGCTTCCTTTGCTCCTGCTCCTCCTCCTCCACCTTTTCCTTGTAATGGAAGAAGCTGCAGTGTTATATCCCTGCAATCAGATTTTCCCCGGGTTCGTCTACGCGAGCGAGCCACCAACTCGGCATACTTACTCAGCTCGTACGGCATCTTCACCCCCACTTGTTACTACTGCTGCTTAACTGCGACAAATGCCACAGTGGAACGAAAAGGAAGGAAAAGCACAATCCAATTCACTGGGTTGCAAATTCCCCCCTGCAGCAGAAGCGACGTCAACTCCCAGCTGCACAAACCAGGAAGCGCCCGCTCGCACCACTTTTCCTTCTCTCCCCCTGGCTTTGACCATATATAGTCAACTCTGCTCGAGCCGCGCCGTGCGCGTAGAAGGAGCGGCTTCCAACGGCGCTCCTGTCTTCTGCTGCAGCTAGAGCCCGCCCGTCCCGGAAATGCCGCCAAGAAGAAGACCAAAGCGGGGCAAACCCCGCCTCCGTCGCAGGGAAGGGCCACGGCGGCGCACGGCCTAACGGGACCTGCTCTCGCTGTCGTCAGCACGCGCTCTTACGTGCGCGCGCGGCTTGACTGGGCACCATACGCAGAGGCAGCCGAGGCGAGGCGTCGTCAGTTTCCGGGTATCAATAGGGCCCTTTTCGGGGTGTGTGGATAAATGTGAATGGGCAGCCCCTTTCCGCAGCACACAAAGGATTGCACTGCGTTTCCGAGTGAAAGCGTTTTTATTTATAAAGGCGCAAGCTTAAACGTCTTTAGGCGGAACAAAGTCCTACGACTCCCAGCATGCCCCAGCGAGGCTTGCTGGCTGGAGGGTGCTGGGAATTGTAGGACATTTTCTGTCCAAACACGCAAAAGGATTACGCCCTAAATCTAAGCAAGGGAAAAAGAAAAGGTACCTGCATGAAATTCAGCAACTAAACGCTGGATTTGGGCTGGGAGGAAGTCTGATGGGGCCATTTGAGTGGCCTGAGCTCTGCTGCAACGTGAAGAATGCTTTGGTATGAGAGGTTTTCGTCAGAAAGCAAACCAGCCTCAGCCCTACCCATGCTGCGGTTTCAACCACGGAGCACCTTGAAGAACAGTTTGTCAGCAGTTTGCTGTGGATAAAACAATTATCAAACAGTCTTGGCAATCGGCTAATGGTCGTTCCATTAAGTTATGCAGTGATTTTTCCTGCTGATTCCAGGTTCCTAGGCCATGTGGAAGTGGTCCATAGGCACCTTGCTGCAGGAGATCTCTGCTAAGTGTCCATTCCAGAAAGTTTTGCAGCCATCCCCGTGTTCAGTAACCAAGAGTTTGGGTTGCAGGAGAAATGGCGACCTACTGCTGATAGCTTTGGGTTTGTTTATTGGGCTTACAGCCTCTTTAATCTGTCACAGCTGAGAGTTCTTCCTTCTCTCCATTATTATGTTGAGATGTGTAAATACCAGGGTGTGTAGGCATTGGGAGCAACGAACTGGCTGAGCAAGTTGCCAGGATGGTAACCAAACTTATTTATAAAGATGAGAAAATTCCATGAAGTGGTATCTCCATTTGCATTCTTACATTCAAGTTGAAGGTTCAGTGGCAAAACTTGTGGGAAGACCAGGCTGACAATAACCCTCTTCAGCTGAAACTAAACAAATGAGTTCATTTCTCATTTAAGGAGTTAAAGTTGATCAGAGACAGACAGGGCAGGAGGAGTGATGGAGATTTTATTTCCTATAGGAGACCCTCCCCCCTGAAATTCAGTTAGAGGGGCATCTGAGCCCATCTAGCTCCCTTCCTGCAAGAAGTAGGAATGGAAAGGCCATGACATCCTACACAGCTGACCTCTTCTCTTCCTGTCCCTCCAGGATGCAACCTTCTTGACCAGTGCAAGTTTCTCTGAGGCTTCTTTTGTGGCCATGAAAGAATTTTAACTGATTGTGCAAACTGTCCATACACATTAGCATCCACCCTTTTGAATTGTTTTTTTAGTATTCCCATCACAAATCTCAAGTAAGTCCAACAGGCATTACTGCACACCGAATTTTTTGCTCTGCTTAAATTCTGATTGATGATGTTGATCTTCAAATTTTATGTACCATCCTGACCTCTCTGTTGCCTCTCCATTCTTCTTTGGCAGGAACTCAAAAAGCACAGTTTTTTGTGGCATCTTAAAGACTAACAAATTTATTTTGACATGAACTTTTGCAGGCTATAGCCCAGTTCCACACATGGAGTATTACTGAAAGGTGTACAATTATATTGATAGCACATGCAGTGGCAATGGGATTATATACACTGAAGTATGAAGGAAATTAAATGCAGAAAGTACTGACAGTGACAGTCACATTATTAACCATGGTCATTCACAGTACAGTTGTTACTGCTACTATAAACATTATAACACTAATTACCTGCCAATTAACACATGTAGTGTGATTAAACATCCTTTAGCCCAATGCAAGCCTCTCAGGATAGAATTGAAGCTGTTTATGAATTCTAATTGAGCAGAGTTAGCAGAAGCAACTGTACTGCGAATGATTGTTGTTAAAAAGCAACTGCCACTAGTAGTATCATCTGCACTTAATTATCGTCTGACCTCAGTATATGTAGTTCTTGCCTGCTACCATATACATTGCTAAGTACCTGAAACTCTCATTAACAACACCCCGTGCATCTGGTGAATACACAAAAACATATACCAGAACAAATTTGCTGGTTTTCAATGGGCCTTTTTTGTTTTGGCTGCAGCACAATAACATGATTACCCTCTTACATTTTAAAAATTGTTTTTAAAATTATTGTTAGGAACAAGCTACCAATAAAAGACACCCTTGCAAGAAGGACTAGTGGCTGCTATGCCCCAAACTACATCTACCTATCTACCTTTCTCGCCCAAGTTCCTCAGCTCACGGTAAGGTGAGCACTGTATTACATTGCTGGACAGCCATCTGAGATGGATGGTTTAACTGAGAGTCCTGCACCAAGGAGGGGGTTGGACCTGATGGCCTTCTGGCCCCTTCTGGCTTTAATATTCTATGTTTCTATGATTGAAAGATTCCTGTAAACTACTTTCTCAGTTTTAGGCTGACACCCAATCTCTAATGGTGGTATAGTTCACTAGACTACATTGAGGGTTAATGTAATTCCCTAAGCCATAGCCCGTATCCTCAGTCTGTAATATAGAGATAATGGTCTGTATTTGCATTGGTATTTGTACTGGCAGCAATATCTTTCAAATAATATTTAAAAATGTAGAGGAAAAGATCTTCCTGCACGCAATAAAACCCAAACCAGAAATAGCACAGCCAGCGAGTCTTTGTTACTACCTTTCTTCTAGGAAGACATATTGGTATGTGATAATAGCTATGGTAAAATCTTTCTCCATTGATGGGCTGCTTTCATTTCTTCCCTGGAAGAATTTTAAAAATAGTTCCTCCAATACATGCAGCAATTCCCTAATGTTTTCTTTGGTTGTAATGCAGAATGCCTCTTCATGGATCACTGCCTTGTCATAGCAAAGGGGCTTGTGTAGCTCAATGAAGCTATGAGCTATGAAGCTCAATGAAGCTATGTATATTGTACAAGAGGTAGCAACTAAAACCGTCCCAAAGAAAAAGAAATGCAAGGAAGCAAAGTGGCTGTCTGGGGAAGCTTTACAAATAGCTGAGGAAAGAAGGGAAGTGAAAGGCAAGGGAGAAAGAGAAAGACACACCCAACTGAATGCAGAATTCCAGGGAATAGCTAGAAGAGATAAGAATGCCTTCTTAAATGAACAGTGCAAAGAAATAGAAGAAAACAATAGAATAGGGAAGACTACAAACCTCTTCAAGAAAATTGGACATATGAAGGGAACATTTCGTGCAAAGATGGGCATGATAAAGGATCAAAATGTCAGGGACCTAAAAGAGGCAGAAGAGATTAAGAAGAGGTGGCAAGATTACACAGAACTATACAAGAAAGAGCTTAGCATCCCTGATAACCATGATGAGGTGGTAACTGACCTGGAATGTGAAATCAAATAGGCCTTAGGAAGTCTGAGCAACAACAAAGCTAGTGGAGGCGACAGTATTCCAGCTGAGCTATTCAAAATCCTAAAAGACAATGCAGTAAAAGTGCTACACTCAATATGCCAGCAAATTTGGAAACTCAGCAGTGGTCACAGGATTGGAAAAGGTCAGTTTTCATTCCAATTCCAAAGAAGGGCAATGCCAAAGAATGTTCGAACTACCGCACCATTGCACTCATTTCACATACTAGCAAAGTTATGCTCAGAATCCCACAAGCTAGGCTCCAGCAGTACTGAGAACTACCAGAAGTACAGGCAGGATTTCGAAGAGGCAGAGAAACTAGAGATCAAATTGTCAACATACTCTGGGTCATGGAGAAAGCTAGGAAGTTCCAGAAAAACATCTGCTTCATTGACTATGTTTGTTGTGATCCATACAATCAAAGGCTTTAGCATAGTCAATGAAGCCTTTGATTGTATGGATCACAACAAATTGTGGCAAGTTCTTAAAGAGATGGGAGTACCAGACTATCTTATTTGTCTCTTGAGAAACGTGTATGCGGGTCAAGAAGAAACAGTGAGAACTGGACACGGAACCCGATTGGTTCAAAATTGAGAAAGGAGTTCGGCAAGGCTGTATACTGTCGCCCCGCCTATTTAACTTATATGCAGAGCACATAATCAGAAATGGGGAACTAGATGAATCACCAGTTGGAATTCAAATTGCTGGGAGAAATAGCAACAACCTCAGATGTGCAGATGATACCACTCTAATGGCAGAAAGTGAAGAGGAACTAAAGAGCCTCTTGATGCGAGTGAAGGAGGAGTGCACAAAAGTTGGCTTGAAACTCAACATTAAGAAAACTAAGATTATGGTGTCCAGTCCTATCACTTCCTGGCAAATAGATGGGGAAGAAATGGAGGTAGTGTCAGATTTTATTTTCCTGGGCTCCAAGATCACCGCAGATGGGGACTGCAGCCAAGAAATTAAAAGATGCTTGCTCCTGGGGAGGAAAACTATGGCAAATCTAGACAGTATACTAAAAAGCAGAGACATCACCCTGCCAACAAAAGTGCATATAGTCAAGGCTATTCCAAGGTGCAGTGTATGGCTGTGAAAGCTGGACCATAAGGAAGGCTGAGCGCCAAAGGATTGAGGCCTTTGAGTTGTGGTGCTGGCGAAGACTCCTTTGAGTCCCTTGGACTGCAAGAAGATCAAACCAGTCAGTCTTAGAGGAGATCAACCCTGATTGCTCTTTAGAAGGCCTGATCCTGAAGATGAAACTCAAATACTTTGGCCACCTAATGAGATGGAAGGACTCACTGGAGAAGACCCTAACACTGGGAACAATTGACGGCAAAAGAAGAAGGGGACAGCAGAGAATGAGGTGGCTAGATGGAGTCACTGAAGCAG